GCTGTTCTTTGTGTTTCCGTATTCATGATAAAATTTTATTAGTATAAAATATTGAATAAATAGAAATATCGTTGATATCAAAACTCTATCGAGGTATTTAAACATTTTCGCGTGTCGCTGTTGCGACACATCAAATTTTCAAATGACATCAAACGAGCTGCGGTAAAATTATCGCTTACTTGCGAAAACTTTCATTTAGCGGAAACCATAACCCGTCGTGGATCGATTTTCCTGACGATGCACGCTCGCCTTTACTGCGATAATTTGCGATTCTCGCGATATCTTCCGATCATTACGACCGATCCACGTGGAACCGCAGAATTATATTGAGCAGGTGTAAAGAGAGAGAGAGAGAGGGCTCTTTTGTATCTGCAGATCCTTCTATCAAAGTAATGTACGTGACAAGATATCTCGTTAACGCGAATTTCACGAGCGGAATCGATTATAAACGCTCTCGAAACAATCCAGTAGGCTCTATCAACTTTCAAACTCATTAAGATCATTTAACGAGCGGCTTAGAACCATATATAACGAGACAGTGTAACAATGACTGCATAGACGTAGGACATTTTTCCGATTATCGATATTCGTGGCAGTTTAGCCGTCGTTATGTAGCCTATCGTAACATCTTGATTATAATTTAAACGGTCATCGTATTTTTGTCTGAAAAAATAGAATATTTTAAATTTTAAATATTTCTTTTTACTTTGATCTTATATTTTTTTATTTGTCATATAATTTCTTTTAAATTTGAGTAAATTTCCTGATAGCGGATAAGTTTCGGGTTTCTGACAAATAGATATCATCACCTATTAAAAGATTAATAAATTAATAATAAAACAAATTATATAAATATCACATTCTAAATTCGTAAACTAATTAGAATTAAATTAGAATGTGGTATTTATATAATTTATTACATTACATGCCATTACATTACATATATAATGATGAAATATTCATAGTTTTTACTAAAGTTTTTACTTCGACTACAAAGTATCTCATCGTTTTCTTAGAGAAAAAATTGTTATTCGTTTTTTATAGCGAGCGAACGTTTTAGCTGTAAAATTTAAACTGAGCGGAGGAGAAATTTTACGACCTCTTTTATAAATTAACGCGATTCTTATTGTTTAATCATTTGTTCGTTGGTCCGTGTAAACTAACGTTCTGCAAATATTGGCACAATTTACGATTCTAATATTTTATCGTTCTTTTTTTTTACACAGTTACAAGATTTGCAGTTTTGATGATGTTCCGTACCCATCTAATACGAATTAAACAATCGATCGCGAAATTATCGCAAAATCGAATTAAGAAATTATCGCGCTGAAGATATTTTTATTAATACAAAATTCGCAGAACATAATCATTTGACATTATGAAACGAGTTAGAAGCACGATTGAGATAAATTACGTAACTCGTGACATACACACATTCTCACTCTTTAAATGTATTCTATAATCATTATAAAGTAATTATAAAAATGTATTATTCATAGACTTCTTTTGTGTTTTCTTTTACGTCTCTCTTGCATTATGTATCAAGTCAGGGTAGCAAAAACTCTCCAACATACATACATACATATGTCAGAGAATCGTTATCGAAGGAGTCCATCATCGGATAAAATAAAATCTTTAACGATCTCATACTGCTCGTAAAGCAGTATGATTGCAGTGCTCGAAAATTCGAACGTAAATGATGAATCTTGATGAGCCCTCGGATACCGAGCGAAGGATGAAATATCCCATTCCACGGGCGAGAAAAGGCTTTCTTTGCTGAATTCGGACGCCGCCAAAAAAATTGGTGAATACACTTCAAAGTATGTACAATAAAAGCCTTTAAACATATTTTGTATTCCATTCACTATACATTCCCAAAAAATTGTCAAAATTAGGCTGTTTTTTCGGGCGCTAGAGTGGCATTACCTCTTAAAAGGTGGCTCTTGCTGGTGGAGATGCAACAGAGAGAGTGTTGCCTCTCAAATCCCCCAAACTTCTGAGGGTTGGCTCTCTCTCTCTCTCTCTTTCGCTCGAGCAGATATCTACCCCGAACGTGTAACTGCGTATGCGGCGTAACGTGCTCCGTCCGGTATATTCGCGGTTGGCCGTAAAGGGAGTTCGCAAACGACTTGCACAAGCTTTTCCTCTCCACAGTCCCCGACGATCGTACACGCGGAATGCGCGAGTTCAGCGTCGAAAAGCGTCGGCGAACGAGTATAGATGTGGGCTGGCGTTGCTACGTGCCGATCCGTCCGCTTCCGGTCTCGCAAAAGGGTTTCACACAAGAGCGTATATATACGGAATTGTTCGTGAAATTCTTGCGGAACGCGGCAGTCGCCCCTGATTTCGCAAAATTTAATTCGCAAAGCTACATTACCGGCTATACCTCGATTACGTTGAAATAAAGTGCGGTGAAGTTAGTATGTATATGGTCGACTGAGAATTAAATTCGTCCCAAGAGATAAGAAGTAGTACAATTTATTAGTTGTTTGTATCGTGTACGAATTGATTTTTCGATTAATAATATTTATTCTAGATGTATTCGTTAAATTATGAAAAACAAAGTGACAATTTGATAATAAGTATTAGTAGCACAAATACAGAAAAGAGAAGGAAAGAGAAAGGGCAAAGTTTAGAGTCAGTCTAAAATGGAAACGGCCTTTGGATATGGCAAACGTTTACGAGAAGGAAAATAGCGCTCGCATTTGCAATAGTTTACATTTTACAATAATCTTGAACTTTGATGACCGCCAGTGTACGAGAAACGAAATGGCAAGCTAGAGATTGTACTGCCGGTACGTGCCAATCCGCTCTTCGCCGAGGTTTTGTACAAACGCGATATTCAGCCGCACGAGTTTTCGGGTAAATTTGCCGAGGGTGTAAGGGTAAATATGCGACTATTCTGTTTTTCCGTACACGAGGATTACGCCAAGTAGTTTACCATCGAACGGGTGTTTACTTGTTACTTTGCAGTCGATAGGATGCTATACTGGAATATTAAAGATCCGTGCAAGATTGGTATTTGTTCTGCAATTGGATTGGAACTAGGCCAACGAGATATATACTATAAAGTCAATATCTCATTGAGTTAATATCGTAAAATAAATTGATAGACTCGTAACGACTTTATATTTTACTTAAAAATGCTTGAAATTTTCTTACACTTGAAATACGACAAATTAAAAAAAAATGATATAAGCCACTTAATACAGGGTGTCCCAAAATTAATAGTAAACCTGTTAATTCCTGAGATCATTTGAAGACGACTTTTCCTCAGTAAAAATGTCGAGAAAGGCCATCATTTTTTACATGTTCCTAATTTTCATGTATCTATGTAATTAAACCTTACATTAAAATTCAATTATAGTAAACTCTACATGAAATTAATAAAAGAATGTAATTTTGTTAATATTTTTTATCCACGTGGTTTAGTTTGCGAAAAACCCCTTAATTTCAATCGCTTATAATTCGAAAATTATTGATGTCTCGACATTTTCGTTAAGAAAAAATCGTCTCTAAATTATTCCAGGAATCTGCCATTAACAGGTTTATTACTAGTTCTGGGATATTCTGTACGTATCTATTGAAATATGCGGGATTTCGATTTCATTTTCGGTTTATAGAAAAATCGGCCTAAATAGTTCGCAGCACATTACGTCTTCGTATAATAACGGATCTCGTGGAAACTGGTACGCGTCATCGCTCCGTAAGCTCGCAATCTACGCGAGGGTAGATCCCTCATACATTTCCCAAGGATCTTTACGGCTCTCAGCACCCTATGCGCCGCATGTGTACTTTAATTAGCTCGGGGTTCTCCGGGTTTCGTTTGGCTTGACGATACCTTTCAATCTTCCAGCGACCGATTCGCGAAATTGTCTCACGTGCTCGGGGTTCCAGGCTTTATTTGCCCCAAACTTTGGAGACCCGGAGAAAGGGAGAGAGAGAGAGAGAGAGAGAGAGAGAGAGAGAGAGAGAGAGAGAGAGAGAGAGAGAGAGAGATCCAGAAGTTACTCGAAATCGAAGTTCGCGATGAAGTGACAGCGCTGCGCTATCTGAAATCTTAATGGAAGTGACGACACAGTGATTACCTCATCGTCGACTTTATCACGTGAAATGTGTCACTGTTGAAATGTTTGATTTAGCAATGACCGACAACTTTAGCCAACTAGTTTCGTAATTGGATCGTAATACGAAGCTGGTCTTGCAAGTGATACGATGAAATTAGAATCCATGTTGTTTTTGTAGTAGTACAAGCTGATGATGACATACATGCGAGAAATAATGTTCTCATATAAATATTAAAATTTGAACGAACAATTCGTATTAAGTTGATAACATTTACATTTATATTTTTTTCTTAGTGTATGATACTGAATATAAATATGTAAATACAGCATATGAATATTATAGATACAAAGTAATTTATATTATCTGCAGTCTTTTTCAAGGTTTAAAAAACGTTTAAAAACTCATGTATAAAACATGTTGTTATGCTATCTCAAATGGAAACACGTCAAGTTTTCTTTTTGTCTAATAAGCTGCATGTAATAATTTTTATCTGTCAAATTAGAACATAAGACGATACGGCTAGAATGACAGTTAAAATACAAAGTTAAACAGTTAAGTCAAACTAGATTGTAATTACTTATTTCAATTGCAGAGAGAAGAATAATTATTATTCAAAACTTCGAGAAACTGATTTTATATTTCAGGCAGAGAGTAATTAAGTCGCTTACAAACAAGGGATAAACCAACAAAAACTTTTTTTATTGAGTAATTCCACACAGATTACATAAAAAAAGAATAAGACGTATTTATTTAGAAATTTTTTAAACTATCTTGTTTTATTTTGACCTCCATCGTCATTTCTTCTCACATTTTATTTTAAATTGAAAAGAGGAATATCTAGAAATCTGATCATTGTACGACGCGTCACTTATTTATTCCGATTTCAAAGGGCAAGTGTACACGTGACTCGCACATGTTTCGTGAGCTTCAGTGTGACTCCTCTTCAATCTTGGAAAGTCGGTTGACGAGCGTTATCTACCGGAAAGCGAAAAATAGATAAACAGTCGTGCCTATGGAAAGGGAAAGAGACTCGCACATTTAGTACCACGAGTAGTACGATCGGAAGCACGTCATAATGAGTATGACACACGTAGATTAATATATTCACGTCGCTCGCTCGCGTAACACGCTCGTCGTGCACGCCTCTCACGCATCGGGAGGAAGCTTGGGCTTTCTCGTTATCAGCATCAGTGGCCGGTGTCGCCGGTTGCCGCGCGCACCAGTCTCACTCCGACGACGGAGAACGTGTTCGGGAACGTGTGCCGGCTGTCGAAACGAAGTTTCTCTCTCTTTCTCTCTTTCTGTCTCTGTCGCGCCAACGTGATCGCGGTTTGCGCCAAACACGCGTGCTCCTATATGCTCCTCTACGTCGCAGCCCAACAACATGACGGCCGAGCACGAGCATAGCGACTTTCGGATGCGATCGCGCAGAACGAAGAGCGTAACCAGGGCGGAGGAGATCCAGAAGGCGGAACAGATGGTCCGCAGGTCGCAGCCTGACAAGCCGTGAGTAGACGCGCACTGATGTTCAGCTGTTCTCGGCATTTTTCCGTTCGCCTACGCACCCCGTTCGCGCCTATTTCCCGTCGACCCGTGTCATCGAGGATGTTCGTTCGCTCGCGATGACAGATCGGTCTTTTTTTTGATAGAGGACAATCGATGTCGACGAATATTGCGCATCGATGTACAAATACGACGCGGAAACGAGGAAATTTTTAGTAGCCGTGGAGAGAAACGCACGACATAGCAGACAACTTGGTTTAACGTGCGCATGCGTACTCCGCGCCGCATTCGGCGGAGATACCAACAAGCGAGAGGGGATTTCCCCATTCTCGGCGATCTTAGTGTCTCCGTCTCGCTTCGATGTGTGTGTTGTAATCGATGCGGAGGTCAGCCGCCTGGCGCCCCAGAGTACAGTCGGACTCATGGACATTGTATACTACGTCCATGGTCGAACTACAGCTCGTTTCACGACATGCGTCACTGCATGCGGCGAGGCTGATTGCGGAATAGTGTACTCTGGACAGGTGCGCCTTGTCCGTATTGGGAAAAAAAGAATAGGGCTACGCCATGAAGTTTGTCATTCGTAGTTAATAATCTACGTGTATTGCATAAATGATATGTTACGACAATGTGGATGTATACAAAGTGTTTCTAAATAGGTATGAAGAACTTTAGGAAATCATTCTTGTCGAAATAAATTAAGGAGGGGTTTTCGTATAAACATATTGTTCTCTATATTCTTCCTTGAGGAGTTATACTTTTCTAAAGAGAAAGGTGAAAATTAAGTTTTCATTTTTCAGACAAATTAAAAGAACGAACGGAAAATGTCCACCAAATTTTATTTTTCTAATTTGTCTGAAATTAAGAAAAAAAACTTAATTTTTATCTCCCTCTTTAGAAAAGTGTAATTCCTCAGAGAGGGATAGAATATGTATATGTTTATATAAGACATTATTAATTTTCGACAAAGAATCATTTCTTAAAATTTTTCGCACTTATTTAGATACACCCTGTATATAAACTGTTTTTAAATAAGTGTGAAAAACTTTAGGAAATGATTTTTTGTCGAAAATTAAGGAGGGTTTTTCATATATAATATATGATTCTATATATATATATATCTCCTTAAGGAGTTACACCAAAGGGGGAGGTAGAAATTAGATTTTTATTTTTTTCTTGAAAACTATTGATTTTACGAAAAAAATAAAAGAAATGAAAAAGTTTCTAAAGAAATCCAGTTTTACTTTCTAACGCATATTTTTAAATGATCACATTCCGGTCCGTTAAAAAGTTTTAATATAAAAATTGAATGAGAATTGTTAGTTTCATATCTCCTTATAACGATACGGAAAGATTAAAAATATTAATAAATATTCTTTTTACTAGTGAAAAGTATTCCATATTTTATTTTTTTAACGTATCCAAAATTTGAGAAAAAAAATTAAAAACCTAATTTTTACCTTCTCCTTTAGAGAAATGTAACTCCTCAGAGAAAGATATAAAAAGAAGTGTATGTTTATATGAATAACCTTCTTTAATTTTTGATGAAGAAACATTGTTTAAAATTTTTCACGTTTATTTAGAAACACCCTGTACATTTAATCAAATATTTCTTTCTCTCTCGCTGTCAAGTTGTGTGATTTATTTTTATTAATATACTTGAGTACTTTGTAATAATGTGCGTGTATGAATTTTTTGAAAATAAACCTTTCTCAGGGAAATTAATAATATATTAAATTAATGTAATGAAAAATTTAAATATTAATAGACACAAATCACTAATGCACACATCTAATGAGAGATCTGATTGCAAATGGATATGCTTATGTCATTAGCATGAAATGAATACTTGATATAAAATCGAGAATTTAAATGTTTTAAGTATTTACGAAAGCAAAAATTGAATTGATTGACTGTTCGTCTTATGAAATATCAAAATATTACGTTAGAAAGTTGCACACGAAAGTAAATTGTGTATAATTGATGCACATAATAACAGTTTATTAAATATTTATCTTTGCAAAATATCAACGAAATCAATTTATCATTAATAACATCAAGTTCTATTTTCATATAATGTTCATAGTTTATGTGATTTTGTGGATAACATTGCATATTTATATAAATAACTCTTATAAAATATTATTTAAAACATATACATAAACATTATTTAAAATATATACATAAACATAATTTAAAAGATATACATATAAAGATTTTTTAAAACATATACATATATAGATATGCGCATAGATTAGAAACTAATATAATTTACATGAAATACATATTTATTTCGTGAAAATTCTACATAAGCGTATAAAATGCATTATTTAAATAAAAATAATCGAATCAAATAACGTTTTGTCTTCTTGTATATTTAAAATTTAAAATAATAATAATATTGAAATAATATTTTTTTTTCTGTAGAATTATATATTATGCTCATTATATTTTTTTCTTGGGTACATACATTATAGTATCAGTTGGCTATTACTATAATTTTATAGCAGTTTTTTAAGTGTTTGTGCAGCGTTTAAATGACCTCATGACACTTTAAGAAATGTTGCATTAAACTTTGTTAGATAGATAGAGCGCGTATCTATTTATATGATATGAAATAAATTTCAGGATATATAAGCGAAGAATATCGATCATTTTTATAATATAAGTCATAAGCAATATTTCGACATTTTAAAAGTTTACTCGACTGACTGGAAATCTCTTTTGTTAAACTGGAATAAATTTCGTCTCAATTGCATATAATTAATGCGTGCCTCTTGCTATTTCAGAGTTTAACATCGAAACGATATATTCTATTCTGTCGAAATGTCTATCAACGAAGTCGAGTTAGAGTTCGGTTGCATTATGCTTACAACTTTGAATGTAAATCAATCTTTAACGAGATTGATCGAATTCGAGGAACTTGGGGGAATGGTCTTGGGAGAAATGCAAAATTTAATCTCACGAGATACATTTTGATTTGATTGTCATGAGAGATAGAGACGTGTTTGTAAAGAAGAGAATTACGTAAAATATGAGACAAATTATAAAATATAAATACTTCATAGATTTTACCGAGAATTACTTGCATTTGCGATTTCTATGAAAATTACTATCGAATTACATAATTAAAATTCTCAATATTTTATTTCTCAATTACTTAACGAAAATAATTAATTGTTAACATTAAGATGTAATTAAAGTTTTGATTTTTGCAAGAAGCTTAAAATTGACGCAATTAGAAAATCCAGCAGTTTTAATAACACGCAATACAGAAAGAATTCACAGACTCTAATATTTAATACATGTGACGTGTAACTCGGAATTAACTAAAGAATAAAAATAAATGTACAAGAAACTTGTTTTCCAACTTGAATCTGTCACAGGTTCAATTGCAAATGATTCAGTCATTTATGATTATCGCACTTACAATGAAATATATTTTTACGTATAATTTTATGATAGATTATCGCACTTACAATGAAATATATTTTTACGTATAATTTTATGATAGATAAATGTTTTATTGTTTCCCTAAGGGATTCAATGCAATACAAAATCTTATAATTCTATTACCCATTTGATGGCGCCAAACAATATCCAATACAATATTAAACATGAAATAAAATAATAATAGAAAAACAGAAAAAAACAAATGTAATTTTATGAAGAATTGAATATGATCTTCAAAACTGTACACTCTTTTTTTTGACAAAGTAATTATTTTTCATCTTCCAATGTTAATTAGGATTGAATAATTTCCTTAATAATAATGAATATTTAAGCAATCGCATTATCACACGCATGTTTTTATTTTGTGAATATATTCGATATTATTTTATTTGCAATTAAGTAATGCCACAAATATTTCTGCAAGGCTAACTATTGCTCGTTTAAAAACAAATAAATACTTTTTTAAATGCTGCATTGCAGTAAAACATTTATTTCCAACAAATTGAAATCAAGCAAAACAAGTTTGAATAGATTTTTACCGATAAAACAAACAAAGTTGTCATCCTATAAAATGTTTTATTCAAATATCCATATAAAATGACCTCGCAACACAATAAATATTGTAAAAAGACCCATTTTTTCTACAGTATGTATACATTTTAAATTTATTACTAAAATTTTTTTTTCTAAATATACATATATAACAGTATTATATTTTCTTCAAAATTCATTATGTTTGTTAATTTTGTAAATAACAATCTAGATATTTTTTATTTTTACATAATAAAAATGATTTAAAGAGATAAAAAATTGAGTTAAATGCAAGTACATTTTAGTGCTTATTTCAAATTTAATATTGGAAACAATTTTTTTGTTAGGATTAAAATTTTTTTATTTGATCACTAATGTTGCAATTTTATTCAAGCATAATTAATGATATGATTGAATATACAATCCCGTGTAAAAATATTTCTTAGTCGAATTCACTTAATAAGTTTTTGTATTATAAATTTATGATTTTATGAATACTTGTTATTTCTCCAGAGATTTTTATTTTTACATAATAAAAATAATCGGTATTAATAAAGAGATATAAATTTAGAATCATTATGCTACATTATTATTCATTCATGTATATTTATTGCAATAATATATGCAATTTGTCCGCGCGTTATTGAAGTAAAATAAAAATTGCATAAATAACCTGACTGTTCTGATGTCGCGATTCTATCAACATGTGTAAATTAATGACTCCAATATATTTCGAGGTCATTTCCGTCGGCTAGATAGTCGCGATGAGATTGTAGGTCAAGGTTAAGGACTATGAACTTTCGGATCACGCGAATGTGCACGAACAATTTAAACGCCTCCGTGCGCCTCGGTGCGCCTAATTAAGCTCCGGGTCGTGCCGAGGTTTTGCTTCGATGCCTCGGAAACTCCTTCGTGAGGTAGTCGTCACTCTTCAGCGACTTCCGGAACCGCTGACGGTTTCCATAGAGTAGAATGTAAAGCGAAGTATGCGCGCTGGGGGGAACATTACTTTCTCCCCG